TAGATCTATTAGAATAGCTAAAATTGAAAACAAAAAAAAATCCGACACCACCAAATGCTAGGGAGAATGTGGAGCGACAGGAACTTTCATTCATCACAGATGGGAATGCAACATGGTGCACCCACTTTGGAAGATAGCTTGGCAGTTTCTTACAAAACTAAACAAATTCTTACCAGCTGAAAATTATGTCCCCACAAAAATTTGCACATGAATGTTTACAGCAGCTTTATTCATAATTGCCAAAACTTGTAAGCAACAAACATGCCCTTCAGTTGGTGAATGAATGAACAAACTCATTAGCATACAATGGGATGTCATTCAGCAACAAAGAGACATGAGTTTTCAAGCCACAAAAGACAATGGCGGAAGCTTAAAGGCAGACCGCTAAGTAAAAGAAGTTCGCCTGAAAAGGTCACACCCTTCATGATTCCAACTACAAGGTATTCTGGACAAGGTAAAACTATGGAGAGCTAAAAAAAAAAAAAAAAAAAAAAAATAGTGGTTGCCAAGGGTTACAGATAAGGGATGGTTAATAGGTACAGCCCAGGGGTTACTTAATGTAGTGAAACTACTCTGAATGATACTGTCCTGGTGAATATGCGTCACACATCCGTGAAAACCCATAAAACTATAGTATAGAGCACAAGCACGAATCCTAATGCAGAGTATGGACTTTAGTTAGTACTAATGCGTTAACACTGGCTCATCGATTCTAACAAGAAATGCACCATACTAAAGCAAGATGTAAATAACAGGAGAGACTGTGTGTGTGTGTGGGGGGGGGGGGGGGGGGTGGAGGGTGTACGGTGAGGGGATATATGGAACTCTGTGTACTTTCCACTTGATCTTTTTGTAAACGTAAAAGTGTTCTAAAAAATAAAGTCTATTAATTAAAAAAACAGAAACACAAGAGAAAAGAAAAAATAGGCTCTGAGTTTCCTATATATAGATACTTTGCTCATATCAGAGAATCCACTTACATAAAGAAAAACAAATATTATCTACTTTCTTGGCCATAGTTTTAACACTATTCAAGATGATAGGAAGAAGGGACTAGAAGTAAAAATCAAGGAGGAAGGCAGGGGACTCTAGAGAAAGGAAGCAAAGCCCTAAGGGAGGATGGGAGGGGATGAGTGGAATCTTCCTGTGGTTCTCATTAGTTTTGAATGTGTCAGGGTTATCAGGGAACTAAAGTTCAACTTGATGGCTGACAATAATTAAAGAGAATGAGTTGGCAATGTTTCAATTCCATTTTTCTCCCTAGGTGCCACAGGTCTGTTTTTACAACAACTTGTCGTCATTAACTGCCACAGCTCAAATGGAACCAACAGGGGAAATTAATACGCATATTAGCATTCAAAAGGAAACACAAGATCCTAAGAACTTCATACTTCACCATGGCAGAGCTGGCCTCTGTAAAAGGTTTCATGACACCTGGTTCGTGTAATTAACAGTGATCCTAGAGTTTGGACTCTGTAGCTTGAGCTTAACCTTTCCACAGTTAGTTCCAAGTGTCATCCACAAGATAGAAGTAAACTATGTAGTTTTTACTGCATTCTATGTGAGGACAGTATTTTCAAGGTGTGCTTTCTACAAAGTAGCAGTTTCTCTACAAATCTGGGTTTCAAACTACAGATCCAATTCTGCTTCTTATCCCAATTATAAACTACCTGAGAAGGCAACCCAAGGGACATCCAACCCACTTTTTAAAAAATCCTCTTAAATGTTTTGTCGTTCATAATCTCACATAACAACTCCTAGTATTCACTTTCACTTAACTAGGCAATTGTGTAACAGATAGCGTATGAAAATATTTTTCAGGCCTACAAGTCCTCCACTTAATCATTCAGCACACAAGTTTTAAGGATTTTCTTCTTCCAGAGACAACTGGTGCTAGGAGGTGAGAAGCAACACTAAGACTCAGTACCTGCCCTCAAGGTGTTACAGACCGGGAAAGGAAGAGGGACATTAAATACATCCTCTCCATTATAGACCTTGTGACTTCAATTCTGACCAATGAGAATCTAGTGTGCATAGGACGCAGAGAAGCTGCCCATTTCTTAGGACAGGACGCACTTCACAAAAAGTTACCCCAAATGAAGACAGTAAGGGAGTTTAGCAACAGAGACAAGAATTTCTCAGGCACAGGAAACTCTCAGTCTTAGACCATCCTTAGATTCTAAGAAACCAAGGCATGAAAATGTTTAGGACTTACAAAAATAAGTGGGTAAAGAGTACAAGGAGGTGAGGTCAAGGCCAGAAGCTTGTGGGGGTTTTTTATACTAAGGAGTGGAGCCTTATTCTCAAAAGGATGGGCAGATATTATAGGGTTTCCAACAGATGGTAAAGGTTTCAGATTTACATCAACCTAGAAGGCCTTAATGTGACCCTTGGCTTGACTATACTTGACACGGTGCCCGACCTCTCAGTTCTTATTTAGAAGACTTTCAATTGTAAATTATTTCTCTGTCTTTTTAAGATGTCAATCTTCTCCCAGCCTCTCAGACTTTTGCAACCCTAGAATGTCTTTCTCAAAGATCTGGGAGGCATCTTTCTGATGCCTTCAAGGAAGATTGTGTCCTGCTTTTCGAGGCTCCATGGGTGGGTAGGAGCCTAACCAAGTGCTGCTAATTAGCAGCAAGCACAGATGGCCTGATCACACTGACTAGCCTCCTGCTAATATCCTCTGCTACTTTTCTACAAACTCACCCCAGGGCTTAAAAATTCCCCGCCTTTTGTCACAGCAGAGTTGACTCTTGGTTCTCTATTGCAATACTCTTGAATAAATCCTTCCTCCCCTGTTTAATTGTTCCAGGGCAATTTTTCTTTGAAGTTTTAGAAAAATCATTGGAGGAGATGTGGAAGACAAGGTGAGTGGCAGGAAGGTGAGTTAGGAAGAGCTTTAGCATTCAAGGAGAAGAGCAATGGTGAAGCCCAGAAGAGAAGACTGTGGGAGAGAGACATGTGGGAGAGAGATTAAAGTCAAGCAATCAACTCTGTGAACAATTGGAGAGTGAAAAGGAAAAGACACAAGGGAGACTCAAGGTTGTTTAGAGTGGCCATGGCAGCTATAACCTCCTTGTAACCTCCCTAATGCCACAGTGGACTGGTGCCTGTTGAGCTCGTGAGAGAGTGGAGGAAACAGATGGTGAGATGAAGGGTCAGGGAGGGCTGGGAGGAGGGACATTAAGAGAGAAAGAGAGGGAGAGTTGGGTGGTTGGGTTATGAAAACAACATAAAAGTGTCTTTTGTAATGATGGATGACAAAGACCACTTATAAATGCCTCAAAGGCAGTTGATAACACCTAAACTATCTGAAAGGGGTTTCTGAGTTAGCATGTTGTTACTGGCAGAATTCTTAAGAATATTCTCAAGACTAGGGGTGCCTGGGTAGTTCAGTCGGTTAAGCATCAGACTTCAGCTCGGGTCACGATCTCGTGGTTTGTGAGTTCAAGCCCCGCATGGGGCTCTGTGCTGACAGCCCAGAGCCTGGAGCCTGCTTCAGATTCTGTGTCTCCCTCTCTTTCTGCCCCTCCCCCATTCATGCTCTCTTTCTCTGTTTTTTCTCTCTCTCAAAAATAAATAAGCACTGGGGCGCCTGGGTGGCTCTGTCGGTTAAGGATCTGACTTCGGCTCAGGTCACAATCTCGCGGTCTGTGAGTTCGAGCCCCGCATCAGGCTCTGTGCTGACAGCTCAGAGACTGGAGCCTGCTTCAGATTCTGTGTCTCCCTCTCTTTCTGCCCCTCCCCCACTCATGTTCTGTCTCTCTCTCTCAAAACTAAATAAACATGACAAATAAATAAATAAATAAATAAGCATTAAAGTTTTTTTTAGAAAATATTCTCAAGCCGGGAGAACAAGAATAGAGGAAGGAAGGAGGAAGAAAGACCATGTCCTAACCCCCAGACATCCATCCAAAGCCCGTACTACAGTCCCTCAGGAAATCAGAATTAGGCAGCAATAGATCCTTTTATTTTCCTCTTTGTAATCACCAGCATATAGGCATAATCAATGGAAAAGCAGAAGAAAGAGAAATCCAGAAAAAAAAAAAGTTACAACAGTCTTCTGAACAAAAATAGAAGTCAGATGGAGAATGCAACCCAATAATGGCTAATATGTTTAAAATTGCACAAGTTTTCTTTTTCCCTACTTCTGATGAATTTGGCTCTTGTATTACCAGTGATAATCTAGGGGAAAGTATGGGCAAAGGCCCAATACTCTTACTATAATACAAACCAAAGGTCCAGATGAAACAATTTTATGAAATGTCATAATCTTCCAACTTAATATCGAAATTTACCAACAATGATGTAAATTTCTATTTTTGATGGTAAGAACTCCATTTCAATGAAAATTCCTAATATCACACACAATGAAATTCTAGTGAAATTCTGCAACGACAAAATGTGTTATAAAATCCCTTGGGAGTTATTCCCAGTGTGAAATGTAATAGCAGCTTTTAATGGTGAGTTCTAGAATATACTTGATGATGCACACTAGAAAACAACATAATTTTTTCCCAGGTACATTTATCCGTAAGGTAGTATTTGCAAAATTCCTAGCTACAGAGAAGAACCATCACTGATAACTGATGAGAGCCAGTGCTCTAGTATTTAGGAGCTAATAAATACTTGGTTATGACAGTGGAATCTTGGTTACGTGCCCCGGCCAGCCATATAAATACAGAAGTCAAATGAAACATTAAGTATCCAAAAGCAAAGATTCCTAACTGTTCCAAAACTTAAATACTCAAAATTATAGTTAGCGACACAACTTCAAATGTTTTCACATTTTTTTTTTTTTGGCATATCATACTGTCCATTGTACTGTATGGTGATGGGCAAGGTCACCAACAGTTAGATACTGAGGACACATTCAGTCATGCAGCTGTGAATTTCTGAGTTCATTGGATACATGTGCAGAATTAATTACAGATTTCCTAAAATCTTCTGAAGAGGCCTAAATCTCTTTCTGGAAGCAAAAAGAATAAACTAAATACAAGTAGACAGCCACTAACGGAGAGATGTGAAATAGGGCAGATTTAAGCAAACATATCCTTAGAATCTGACAACCCAGGGGACTCTCTAATTCTATTTATCAGTGACTCCCAAATAGTGCCATGGATCAGTCATTCAGGAAACCCACTAGGTATTATTAAAAAAGAGTGCTTTCCCCAGGATGAACTATGAAAAGCCTACATCTTTTACCTAATGTTAGTAGCACATACAATTGTCGTTCTGAGTCAATCTGCGAAGAGGTTATTTTCACATTAGCACACATTTCTGTCCTTAGGTGTATTCAGTTCAATAGTTTTACCAATAAACTGGAAGAATACAGAAAAGAAATGTCCATCTTGTTGAAGATCAAACTCTGGAGTTAATTCTGACTCCAGTGTTAGGCTAGAAATAGCCTGAAATTTAGATTGCCTTGCATTTCAGTTTCCAATTTTAATCACTCAAATTCCAAGTGGAGAATATTTAGCTTAATAATAGTTCATGTCAAAAAAGAACTGTTAAGAAAAGGTCATCATTAACATTTTGTGGGTTTTTTTTACCAAATTCTGACACATCAAAAGAAGGTAACTTATATTCCAATTCCCTAATTTGGAATGGTAGGGTCAAAAAATACAAAGAAAACTTTGGAGGCTAGTGGTCATATGAGTCTAATCCCTAGCACCTAGAACAGCGCTTGGTACATGGTAGGTATTCGGTAAATAGTTGTTAATGAAGAAGTAATGAATGGACTCAAGGATTTCTAGCACGTAGGTGGTTCCTTCCTGGCCTTAGTTTAAAAATCAGGAGCTCAGGGGGCGCCTGGGTGGCGCAGTCGGTTAAGCGTCTGACTTCAGCCAGGTCACGATCTCGCGGTCCATGAGTTCGAGCCCCGCGTCAGGCTCTGGGCTGATGGCTCAGAGCCTGGAGCCTGTTTCCGATTCTGTGTCTCCCTCTCTCTCTCTGCCCCTCCCCCGTTCATGCTCTGTCTCTCTCTGTCCCAAAAATAAATAAACGTTGAAAAAAAAAAATTAAAAAAAAAAAAATCAGGAGCTCAGTTACATAAACGAGATGAGGCTTTCGGAGTGAAGTGCCCCACCCGGATCCACGATGGGGCTGAGGCGCTCGTTCCCTCAGCTGCTGAAGTGTTGGCTGTTGTTGGCTCTACTCATAGCTCACGGCTGAGTTCCTCTCCAGGAAGGAAGCTACCCTACTCAGGGTTTGCTTCCTCCCAAGGAAACAATCCTTGTTTCAACTGGGACCATCCTAAATGGCCATCCCAGATGCAAACGTCCCTCTGGCAACTATTACAGCTCAACTTCCTCCTCGGCCTGACGCTACTTTTCTCCCTTTTCACAACTGCTGTTCCCTCTTGGAGCATCCCCAGTAAGCCTCATACGTGTAAAACTCAAAAGCCTCGGAGACTGTTTCTGAGGAAACCCAACCAATAACAAAAACTATGATCCCAAACTCTTTTTTAAAACACATTTCTAGGGGCGCCTGGGTGGCTCAGTTGGTTAAGGGTCTGACTTCGGCTCAGGTCATGATCTCACTGTTCATGGGTTCGAGCCCTGCATCGGGCTCTCTGCTGTCAGCATGGAGCCTGCTTCAGATCCTCTGTCCCCCCTCTGTCTCTGCTCCTCCCCTGCTTGTGCTCTCTCGTCTCTCTCAAAAATAAATAAACTTAAAAAAAAAAAAAGGACAGTGTACTGGATTAGAAGAGACATGTAAATTCAAATCCTGTCACGGTGTGATGAATCAAAGTGTCCCCATGAAAACACATGCACACAGCACATAGAGAAGCCCTCTGTAAACCATGATGCAGCAGGCAAACACTAGGTGTTTTTATTATTAAATATGATGCCATGACTGCAGCAGCTGATCCCACACCAGTCACATGTTAACATGAGGATTAAAACGCAAAAATTTTATACAAAGCTCTTAGAAGGAAGTCTTTAAAGAGAAGCCTACCTGCCATCTGAGCTGATACCCTAGAGTTGTCCACCCAGGAAGGTCCCAACAAAACAAACTAGGATGCTGTGTAAGCAGTAAGAACTGGTCATTATTTTGTGCGTGTGCACAGAATAAACTAATGAAAATGAAAAATATTCCTTCGGGCGGAGACTTGAAGCTCTACCTGGAGTTGACGGTTCTCATTACCAAATGCTAAGTTTCAACAATGAAAGAAGGATCAAATAAATATCAACACTTTAGGCTTATTTCCTAGCCTGAGACTTAAGGTCATCAGCATCGACCTCACCGCAGTTCTGGAAGCGTCTTTTCTTGTAAACAAAGCAAGGCTTTGGGTGATAATCAGAGTTAGATTACAAAGGGATTTATATTAAAAATAAGATTATCATCTTCATGTCTAATATTCTCCTGGCATCTTGTTTGTTTTTTTAATTCTTTTTAATGTTTGCTTATTTTTGAGAGAGAAAGAGACAGATAGAGCCCAAGCAGGGGAGGGTCGGGGAGAGAGAGGGAGACACAGAATCTGAAGCAGGCTCCAGACTCTGAGCTGCCAGCCGGGAGTGACGCGGGGCTCAAACCCACAAACTGTGAGATCATGACCTGAGCCGAAGTTGGACGCTTAAGGGACTGAGCCACCCAGGTGCCCCTGCGAGTGCACTCATTTTTAAGTCAAGACCCCTAGGAACTGATGAGTCAGACTCCACACATTCTTATGAAAAGCCAGTGAATTAAATCATCTATATCTAAAGTGATGCTCAGCAATCCTGCCTGGTCCATTCATTGTGTTGCTCCTCAAATCGATTATTTCCAACTTTCTCTGCTCTTTCTGAACACTGATACCCTCCTATCCCAACCATTAGCCCGTGGCCTTGCTTCTTATTTCACTGAGAAAATAAAAATCATCAGAACGGGACGTCTTCTCCCGAGTACCCAAACCTTCAACTTACCTGCTTGTGTATCGCTCCTCTGCCTTCCTGCTCTGTACTCTGCAGAGCCTGCCTCCAGCTCTCACTGGGCCCTAGGTCCCATCTCCACCCACACAAAGCCATTCCCCCTGCAGCTGACCTTCTCTCTTCAATCGAGTTCTCTCTCTCCAGTAAATGCGCCCCATCAGCAGAGACAGCTGCACTAACAATAGAAAAATGTCCTCCCTGGATACCACATCCCCTTCCAGCCACCAGCCCATTCTCTCCTCCCCTTTATAGCTAAACATCTAACAAGAGCAACCTCTGCAGACTTACTTCCCTCACTCCGGTGTGGACATGTACCAACTCTATTCATCTTTTCACCCTTAACCTCTCGTGAGGTGACTAATAACCGCCCTCTGCCCAAATCCAATGATCAGCTCTTAGCATGCAATTCTTCCTCCACCTCTCTGACTCTGGGGCTTTCACAGCGTTCTCTCACTGTTCTTTCATAAAACATTTTTCTTCTCTAGGCTTGCAATCAACAGGCTGTCTGTTTGTTTGTTTTCTAGCTCACCATGTGCTGCTTCTTGGTCACTGTGGGTCCTCTACATGTCCCCTACCTCTATTTACCAAGTTGCTCAGCCCAAAACCTCAGAATTTGGGGGAGAATTAAATTATATGATAGGAGTAGAAATGTTAAGACATTTCCTTGCTCACAGTGATAGTGCGCTATGAGTTGACTATTATTTGTACTTATTATTACATTTTAAGTGAAAAGAGAAATACAAGATACAGACAAAAGATGGAGAAGACAGTAAAGAACATAAGCACTCTGGGTAAATGCCAACCCATGAAAATAGGAAAAGACAAACACTCACAAAGGGATGGACAGTGCCCTTCAGAGAACAGACTGATACCATTTAACTCCTGAGACAGATTTCAAAATGGAACACCTACCCCCACCAAATGGAGGCCTTATCTCTACTGAATAGCCCAGTTACCAACTTGTTAAATGGGGGGGAAATATTCAATTTTAGATGAAGTAATCAACAGAAAGAAAAGTCAGTATTTTATAGCAAATTCATGAAGCAAAATGCATACACACAATTTTCTAATGTTCACAATTTTCTAATGTTAGTTTTCTAAACTAACACCTAGTTTAACCACTGAATTTCGCAGATAAAGCACCTAAAGCCTGAAGAGGATAAATGTACTGTCCAGGGTCATACAACTAATTAGTGCTTAAATTGGCTTTTCTCATTCTCGCTTAAAAATTCCTATCCCTTTCTTTAGTTATTTAAGTTGTGTTTGCTGGGAAAATAGGTACTGGCTCCACCCTTTTGACAAATGTATTACATTCACTTGAGGTCAAATATGGAAACGGGAAAGCATGAAAATTCAAGTGATCCACCTCCCCCAAGTTTGAGGACAGGTTAAACTTGGTGACTTACAAAAAGTAACATAGGGAAAGGGGAAAAAAATTAGTAGCTTTGCGGTGGAGAAACCTAGCAAATACAACCTTAGCCAAATGATCAGGTTACCATCATCATGGATGTCATGTGGATATCATATACCCCTAAGATAATGGGACAAAAAGAGACTTCAGTTCTGCAGTATTTGTTTTTCAAGAACCCACAACTCCAGTCTAGTTATGAGTAAAATAATAGGCAAAGCCAGATTGGGGGATAGTCTATAGGATACCTGGCCAGTATTCCTCAAGACCATTATGGGGAGAAAAAAAAAAAAAAAGACTGAGAACTTGAGAAACAGATCAAAGGAGGCTGGGAAGATATGCCATGTCTACCCAATCCAAGGTGATATCCTGGACTGGGTCCTAGAATGGAAAGTCTAGAGTTTAGTTAAGAATAATGAAGCAAATATGAGTTTCTTTGACAAAGGTACCATGGTAATATACAATGTTTAACAATAGGGAACATAATAGGGTAAAGGGTGTACAGGAACTCCCAGTAGTATCTTCATAACTTGTTTAGAAATCTAAAATTATTCCAAAATAAGTTGTTGGTTTTTTTTTTTAATCAGTGCTGGATACCAGATGATACACATATGAAACTGTCTTGGGACTTAAAGAAAGAAGTACACAGGGCACCTGAGTGGCTCGGGTGAGCATCCAACTCTTGATTTCAGCTCAGGTCATGATCCCGGGTGGTGGGATTGAGCCCTGCACTGGGCTCTGCACTGAGCATGGAGCCTGATTAAGATTCTCTCTCTCTTCCTCTCTCTCTTTCATTCTCTAAGATAAAAAAAAATTTTTTTTAATGAAGTATGCAGATATCTGGCCAGATCACCAAATATGGGCAGTGTTTACACATCTCATATGTTTCTACATCCAGCCATCAGAGCACTCTTGTACTGGCAGACACAATAAATGTAAATCAAATGATTAATTGTATTCTCTTGCCATAATCTTTCTGTGATATCTATCGGTGTTTTCAATGCTGTTTTTGAAAGTGAGAAAGTGGGTCGGAAGCACGTGCACATTAAAGTGGGAGCCACGTGTGGAAGAGGTCAGCTGGCCTCCCGACCTGCAGACCGAAGGGCAGCCAGTGGGCCTGGAGCGTGTCCTGAGCAACAGCAACCACAACAACCATAACTACCATTTTGGGAAAGCATGGTAGCGTGCCATCCTTTGCACCACAGTTTCACCCGCAAGATTACATTTCACTCTCTCATTCCTGCAGCAATTCTATTCCCGTTTTGGAGATGAGAGTTAGGAACATCAGAGAGATGAACTACATGGTCAAGGTTGCAACTGCAATTCCAACACAGATATCTCTGACCCTTCCACTAAGTCGGTAAACCAAAGACAAGGGAATTTCATAAAAACAATTGTCTAAGCTATGATCCTAGTATCATTAACGTAAGCCAGAGAATAGTATACTGAGATATTATATATTTATTGTATATACGCATGAACATCCATATAATTTCCATTACACTGAAAAAATGTAAAGGGGTTATGAACACTATACCTGATATACAGCAAATGTTAGTCCTCTCCTACCTTAATAAGCTACACCTATTTTCAATAAATTCCAACCTTGTTTTTGCTTCTGATTTAGGGCCTAGACTTGTATGAATTATCAGGGCAATTCAAAAGGGCAGAGAAGCTAATGCCAGAAGTCAAGTTTAGCCAGTTTACATGAGATAAGAGTTAAATCTCGGCCAGTATCAAGTTATTCTAAAAAAAAAAAAAAAAAAAAAAAAAAAAAAAGAAAAAGAAATGTATGTCGCATCAGTGAAACTCCTTTGGAGTTATAAAAGATTTTCAAAAACTCATCATCCTTTTCCTAGACTATATGATTACATGCTTTATTAAGGACTCATTTAATAGATTTGATTCAGATCATGGGAGCAAGTGTCAGCTATCTTTATGGATTTCATTAAGAATTTTTTCTAACATGACCACTTTATGTTCTACCTTTTAAGCTGAATAGACTTTCCTCTTGGACATCATAGCCACTATCTTGATGGTTAATAATTCATAAATCCAGTAATGAGATTCTAATTACTTTTACATAAGTCTGAAATTTACCAGCAAGAGCCAAGGAAGGGACTGGCCTAGACCAACCATCTTTGTGCATTATTTTAGGGGGAATGGCCCCCAGGCGAGTTGGAGCTAAATGGAAGGGGGATGGCAAATCTTTGAAATAATGTAGTCATCTTTCTCTATGCTAAAATAAGCAAGGTAATTAAAAGAGCTGCCATCTGTAATGACCAAGGAAACCTGCCTTACGGACGGAAGTGGGGCTTTGTTAGACAACAAACATTGGAGTTGTAATCTAATACAAAAAACAATCCAGACACATGAGCAAGATCTATTAAACAGTGATGGCAAACAGCCACATGCTGCCTGGATGAATCACTCAGTGTTATCATCAAGAAAGAGAACTAATTTTTTAAACCTGGTAATGCAGTACTGCCTTAGTTTTAGGCTTTGTATGTTGACAATAAATAAATGGCCTAAGAGGATTCGCTCCCTTTGGGATGCAGGTCAGAGTATTGTCCTCAAATCCCTTTTATATATGTTTTCTATATATTTTATTTAATTAATGCTTCTGAAATAACAGATTTATTTTGGCATTGTGTATCACATATGGACTTGAACTGGTTTTTGTCTTTATGCTCAATGTGAGCTCTGCCAGCCTTCCACTGAATCTGTAGTTGGTTACGAGTTGGAATCAGACAAGAGAGTGAGGGTAAGAATCAAGTATTTAACCCCAAAGGACAAACTTCCCTGAGCAACCACATTTTAGATGCATCACAACTACATATTCAATGTGGGGTGCCTGAGTTGGCCATCTTTACTTCTAATTAATATATTGTTTCCTTCAAACTCAAATATTTAGAATTAGGTAACTCTCTGATTCCTTCTTGGAATGTTTTTGTGTCCTTCTGGGACCCAAAGACACCTGAATTTATTGGATTTATACTTATACCAAGTTACCTCCCCAGTTTGAGATAAGAAGTTTCCTCACAGAGAAGTTTTATCACATAAGATATGATGAGTAAAGCACTTGCCAAGAAATGTCATCTTCTTGTAAAAACTCAAATCACAATTACCTCTGGCAATGGTGGACAGATAATGCTACAGAAAAGATAGAACAGATAATTGAAATCCACAGATAAGCGTCAAATCTTATTTCAGCCCCAAATTTCAAATGTTTCCCTACTCCCAACTGACTTTCTTCAGAGTTGATGGCAAACTGAAAAACATTACTGACTTGAGATCCATTATTATGTTTAATTTTTCAAAAATTATAAGCTATGTGTCTACAAGCGTGAAACGAGAAAGAACATAAAACACTCCTCTTTGTAATTAGCAGCCTCCAAAAGTCAGTTTAACTTACACTGTGAGCTACACCTCCCAAGGCAAACATACATGCCCATCATGTTACGAGTTACATTAGATTTGTGCTGGTCTGTTATTTATAATCTCATTTATACTGGAAAATATAACCTGCCATTTATAGAAGGCAGAAATGCAAAAGTTCAGGGAATTGCTCCTTCTCCACTTCAAACGTTCCTATCATGGAGCACCTGGTGGCTCAGTCGGTCAGTTAAGCGTCCGACTTCGGCGTAGGTCATGATCTCACAGTTAGTGAGGCCGAGCCCTATGTCGGGCTCTCTGCTGTCAGCACAGAGCCTGCTTCGGATCCTCTGTCTCCCTCTCTCTGCCCCTCCCTCCCTTACTCTATCTCAAAAATAAACAAACATTTAAAAAAAAAAACTTTCCCATCCAAGGAAATGAAAGTGAGGGACAGAGGTTGGGGGCAAGGCTGAGGAGAAGCTAGAAGGTACTGATGTTTAATGAAAAGAACCAGAAGGGTTAAGGAAGCGAAAGTGGTGGAGAGAATTGAGAAAGGAGAAATTTCACACAGAATTCTCTGGGAGGCTCAGTGATTGGATGGACTACCAGGAAAATGGATCCTCACTCAATGCCACTTCCAGATTGGAACGTCCCTGCACCCACCCCTTAAACTGACCCTAGATTTCAAGATTTCCATCCTCTAAACCCCACTCCAGGATCACAGGTTCAGAAATCAGAGCCTGGAAGACATTATCCCAGGAATGTGTCCCTACTCTATTCCTGCCAGTGTTAGCTATTTGTGTCTTCTACAACCCTAGGTAGGTCCGTGCTTAGAGCTAGTATGGGGTGTTAGTTCATAAACCTCTGGTTCTGTATCAAACTCCTTCCTTTCTGTTAGCATCCCCGCCTGTGTCCTTGGACACTGGACCTGATCGTCTCTGAATTTACTGTACTTGACTGCTGTCCTCCCCAATTAGGGGGGAGCCAAGAACACCACTATCTAACATACCTGTGGTTTTAACATCTTCCGGCCTACGTTACCTGGTTAGCTCATGTATCACAATACAGACAGGGATCTAAAATAGTGACTGGAATATAAAAAGTGCTCAATAAATACTAAATGATAGACAAGATGAACTAAAATTAGTTATCCATTTAAAGAAGCATATGGAAAATATGAACATTGAGAAACATTCATATGTTGAGTCAGTTTAAGATTTCAGGATTTCAGCATCCATCAATCACTTGATCCTGGCATTGGGTATTCTGTGGGCCTTTTACATTATGCAATCATATAATAGCTAGAAGTGTTAGACATGTCTTTATAGATAAGGATGTCACATCTGCATAAAGAATGAGGATAATATTTGGTAATATTGGCTCCAGGGAAAGACTCACGTTCTCCCAAGAGTTTTCTACATGTTACTACACCACGTGACATTCGCCAGCCTTCTGCTTTCTCATTTTAGGTAAACTTGAGACTAAAGTGGTTAATACACCAGGAGATCCTAACTTGGCATCTTCCACATAATAATTTTATTCTGCTGCTTTCCTTTCTCCAGTTCCATTTCCTTCAGCCATAAATCACCGCTCAGCATTCACGTATTACTACACTTTCCATCATTTCTCTAACCATTGTTTTCAGACACAAGATGAATCTATCCAAACCAAGGAGGATCGAGAAGCTGAAGACAGGCTGATCACATGAAATCAACGAAGCACTTCGAACTTACAAGCTTCCCGAAGTTTCTCTTTGTCATAGTGGAATCCTTCATAGTCTTGTAAACTGATTTTGTTCACCCGGATCCTCAGGCGGTCTGGGACAGATTGGGGACTGCAAAACAAGAACCGAGTAGTCAGACATAAATGAGAGGGTAGAATTGAGAGCCACATGCACCTGGAAGGACTAAAGGCAAAACATCTCTTCGTGCTTGGAAGAAAAAGTTCTCATTCACACCAGAAAACAGCCATTATCTGGAGAGTACATCTACAGAAACCTCAAGTTTCTGGAATTTAGGTGAGAACGTGGAAATAATCAGAAAAAGCTTCTGGAAGCTCCTCCAATCCTATTTGCTTTTAACGTGTTAAAAAGTCTAGTAAGATCATGTGTTTAGTTCCATGATAAATTAGACACAGCTAATCTGAAATAGTGAGAAGCGGTGTAGACATATAAAAACTGCTGTAGACAGGTATGTCCATACCAGCCTCTTATGACAGTTTGACCCTCAGAAGAAACAAATAAACAAAAACTATAAAAAGCAGACCAAGAATTGAGAAAACACAGGGCTGAGCTCAAAATGGCTCCAACAGTCTAACGGCACCTCTCAGTCAAAGTTTATGACAATAAATGCTGTCGGTGGTGGGGATTCTGAGTGCCGCAAAATGAAGGAAAAAAATGAAAATATGTCTAAGGTACTTTCTTTAGAAAGGGAATGAGGTTGTAATTCATTTTAACACAATTCGCGACACATGTTAAACGAAAGGGGGTAGTGCCAAGCTTTCTGAAGCATCCTGTTCCCCCACAGAATTTCTTTACCTGGATTCCATGGACTAAGTAATATTTTCAGGTTAGTTTAACCACTGGCATTAGTTGAGCGAAACAATGTAATTTTCGCCAGCACTCCTACGGATCAAAACATTTCTTCAATGGATTAATAGAGCACAATCCCCACTCATCCTTCACTGTTTCCCTATACTTAGATTTCATTGGTTCAGATAATTTTAGCAAATAAAGGATTGCTTCCCCTGTCTTGTATTATGGGATAAAAGTCACCATTGACCCAAGGAGAAAGAATAGCATTACTCTTCATTTCAGCAAAGAAGGGAAGGAATGGAAAAGGGAAAGAAGGGGAAAAAGAGAAGAAAAAGAGGGAAGGAAGAAGAAAAAGATAGATGGAAGGAGGGAGGAGGGAGTGATTAAATACTGCCTGGATACTGAGACCCCCCACCCCACCTCTCACACACACATGTATGGAATTTCACTGCAACTCTGGAAGAAGGAGGGGGAAATAATTCAATCTCGTTCTATTGTCTAATGCTTCATCGTAGGGCAAGGTATAGTAGTAACTCCCTCCAGGTAGATTCCCACTCTAATACCTTAAAGCAACATATATATCCAGCTATGGACACATATGTGCATACTCATACATAGTCCTCTTCCTCCCCCCTCCCACACAAAGATATTTAGATAGATGTGCATAAATCTAAAGAGAGATGGTGGACAAACAAAAACGTCTGAGGTTCACTGGGCTAAAAACTAAGCCAATATGAAATGACAAGATTGATATTTGCGAGGGAAAGTTTTGAGAAGACACATCAATACATCGGTCCGTTCAAAGTGTCTCTGTTGGGTGTCCACTTTGTAACGGGCATCGCGCCGGACATGGAATCGGCTTTGATAAATAAAACTGACATAAGCAGTGATGGGAAATATGATTTGAAGACATATTTGTAAGCTAGAACATACCTTAAATGTCATGCATACCATGTCATCTTTCATAGAGAGGAAAGCTGAGGTGCAGAAAGGTAAAGTGATTTTATGGTCACAGAGCTACTAAGTGGCAGGGCTGGGAGCAGAGTCTTGGACTCTTCACGCATAGGTTTCGTGCTTGTTCTATTATACGGGGCCAAGAATCCCATGGGTTTGATGGCAAAACCACAGAGCCTGAATTAACAAAGTCGAATGATCTCTATGTGGTGTTCAGACCCTTATCAATAAGCAGTGAGTGGAGGGATAGCTCGGTAAACTCTGGTGCACTGAAACGAGAGAACACTGGGCAAACAGTACAAATGAGTGTGCAGATCCGCCTTTGTTTGGAGGGAAGTTCGACTATAACATTGTGAAGTGAAAAAAAAAAGTTAGAGAAAATTATGTCTGGAATAATCTCCTTCATGTAAACTGTGGAACCTCGGCATCTGTAAAGGTACACAAGTGTCTGGAGAAAATGTTCAGTAAGCTATCCCAAGCAGTTACCTCTACACGATGGGATTTAGGGATTATTTCACACTGAGAATCATCCTTTTTAGGAAAATATTTTAAAAGTATGTCAATATGTAAATAAATGGTAACTCAGAGCCAGAGTAAAAATAAGAGTTACAGCAAAGGGTGTTAGGTATTAGACATAAATAGATAGGAAAGGACAGGAAAGAACTTAAGCAATTGACAGAGTGACCATACAGTGTATCAAATGCTTATCCCCAATTTAAGAGGGGTCCGATCTTTTTATTTTCAAGTTCACCCCAGTGACCTGCAAAGACTGTACTTAGCAAACGTTTCCCCACAAGTACATCAGGTTAAGAGGGAAGCTGGAAGCACAGAATGTAGTGGCCCACCATACCCTCCGGGGAGAGGTGGGGGAGGATGCAGGTTGAAAGACGTCTACTTCCATACATTTCAAGATTACAGTAGGTCTAATGACAGTGAAGTCTAGTCTTCTCCAATGGGCTGGATATATCAGGACTAAGACCTGGCTCCAGCAGTAGCTGTCGCGTGGACAATGGGGTTGAAGGAATGACTAGAGACCAGTCGCTATACGGCCTTGTCCCAGGGGCTCCCCACTAGCTAACCAGTGTTTACCACCTTTCTCACAGTCCACCAGGGCCCGCCCCCTGTCCACAGGCTTCCACCTCCCAGCTTTGTGTCGGCGCCCACCCATTCCAGCCACATACTGCTGCCTCCTGAACCACGGCCTCCACCGACCTTCCTTACGTGTGGCCCACCATGCATGTGCAACATGAACTGTCATTTGAATGGAACTTTCCAGAATCCAAATGAATTCACATATTATCTCACTTCATCTCCAGAGTGATCAGCCAGGCAGAAGAAAACTCACCGCTTATCACTCTCCCCCATCCCACCTTCTTACACACCCCCTCTCTCTTTCGGGCCGCTCCCGTCTGTTCCTGAGGACTTACAATGCATCCCATGTTCCCACCAGCAGCAGCTTGCTTAAACCCACTCTTCTGACTAGGGGACCTGGGGCTTGGCTTGCTATCAAGTGTTGAGGCCCACCAGCAAATTTTAGAGCAACCACGGGGTCCATGATGGAAATCTGCTTGGAGTAATTTTGGATCCTGGCGTGAAGGGTAGGCAGCTCAGCCAAGTCTAAGAGATCAGACTCTGAGTCAGATTGCCCGGATGGGAGGTAAAGCTCCTCCAATTATTGGTTAACCAGGTAACCTTGTGCTCTAGCTCCCTCGTAGGTAAGGCAGAGATGACGAGAGGATCCACCTCACAGACCTACTACGAGGATTAAATGGATCAGTACGGGTAACGTGCTGAGAAAAAAGTCTGGCACGTTGAAAGTGCTCAGGATACCAGCTATCACCGGCATAATTATTATTCTGAAAACCGCTCCCCTACATAAGGTTCTGCTAATAAACAATAGAATCAGCTGCTGCCGGGTCATGCAAGAAGGTCAGGGCATATGCAGGAGCCTCCCTAGGCACCTGTGCAAGCTGCTGGGGAAACTGTCTAGCCCCAATAATGTCCTCATTCTCCTGGATCTCCTCCCACAGGTATTTTACAGGCCAACCAATAACATGAAAACAGACGAGAACAGGGGAAAGAGAAAATACACAGATGTTAAATGAAAGCCAAGTAATTCAATTGTGTCCCTTTATGTCAAAATATATTAATGTCCCATTAATGGCTGAGTGGAGGTGGACGATGACAAAGCTGTTCCTTAGAGTCTGGGGAATAGCAGTGCCATTAGTTTTCTAAAATCCAATTTTTCCAAGAAAGTTAGTGGAGCAGAGAAGAGATAAACGTCCTGGTTAAACTGAATTTGTCTGCACGCCAACATCTACCACAAACTCTTCTTATGCAGAATTCGGCTCTGTATGGGGGGTTCTAAACCAGACTTCCAAGGAGTCACTGAAGGTTCCTAAAAGGGACTCAGCAATATTTGAATTCTCTCCACAACCCAGACAGTGGCCTCAACCTATCATCTTCTCACAAATTTCCTGTGAAACGTCAAGATTGAGTTTTTTGTGCACGTCAGAAGTGCATGGCTCTGAATGTAACTCCCAAAAGTCTCCCTGACAACTTCCCTCAAGAACTACAACGAAAGCAATAAATTCACTCACTTGGGCTCCAGACCACACCTTCTCATATTCACATTGCACACACCTGTTTCACTGAGATGCTGGGGGCTGGGGGGAGTTGGCAGTGCGATCGAGACAACTCCCAGAATGCTCACTTCTATTCAACTTACACCCAGTTCTCATTCCTCTCTCTTCAACCTTCACGCTTTCAGTTTCTTTACTAGACGTTTCTTTTAGTCTGATAACAGACTCCCCTCATTCCAATCTTCTCACATGGATACCGTTTACGGACAAAGAGAATGAGTTGGGTGCTTTTGTTCCCCAGGGTCACTTCCAGACCAGCAACACCACATAACCAGACCAGACCAGCAACACCACTCATTGGTAACATGGATAATACGGGAATCATATCCTTTAATATTAAGACACTATAGCCAGTGTGCAAAGCAAGATGTAAACTCAGAAATATCTCAGGTCCAATCTGAACTCTGTCAATTAATACATGTTTGACATTGACAACTGTGAAGTTACCTTGGCCAAACCATTTTCTGATCTGAAAATGGAACTGATAATACGAATACAGTGAACAGTGAATGAGAAAATACATGTAAGGCAGTTAGCACATCCCTAGTAAAGAACAAGTGTTGAATATATTGTTGTTGTATTTTTTAATACCCTGAGGCTTCAACTTCTACAAGCCTTTTTTTTTTTTTTTTAATTTAATCCTAGATAGGGGTGCCTGGGTAGCTCAGTTGGTTAAGAATCCGACTTTGGCTCAGGTCATGATCT